GCAACCGCCAGAAGCTATGAGAGAGGCCTGGAATGGATTCTCCTTTGGAGCCTACAGACGGTACCAACCCTGCCGACACTTTGACTTCCCACTCTTGGCTTCCAGAACTAGGAGAGAATAAATTTCTATTGTGTTAAGCCACCCAGTTTGTAAGAATTGGCTAAAGCAGCCACAGGAAACTAACACTAAAGGACACAGCAGGAGTGGCTCAGAAGGTTGAATGACTCCATTCGGCACCTACCATCCCCTGGCCACGTGTGGAAGCCACCTTAGCCATCACGGGCTCCACGACAGTGCTTTTCAATCTTTTGAAAACGAAGCCATCTTGATGAACAGAAGAATCTCAGTAGCAGTGCTCCAGCCAGACCTTCCACCAAAAGCAGAACAAAACAAAGCACAAACTTGGGAATCGGAGCATCAGAAGAGAATTGAGTTGACACAGGAAGAATGTGAAGCTTCTCACCGCAGAGTCTACACCCATTCTTCCTGTGTGTGCATGGGCATGAGAGGCTGGGCTGGGGGCTTGGGGCGGGGCTGATAATGTGTTGTGTTTTCCACTTCTCAGCAAAGGTCCATGCTAAAGAGCAAAATCTTGTCTTGCTGGAGAAGAAAATCATGTTCCCTTGACTGCATTCCAAAATGCCGGAAGGAGTAGACATCAAACATGCCCCTGACACTTCTTAAAAAGTCACCAAATACCTCAACCTGATGGTTCCTCAAGATTTTATTAATTTATAATATTGTGTTCCATCAAAATGATCACTCTTTATTATCTTGCTGCTCTGAATTGTATCTCCCTTATTATCCTCAGTGACAGAGGCCGTAAATTAAAATCATTCAGAATTTATACTCTTACAGTTCATTATCTATGATTGGTATTATCTCGCCGCCTTTTGCTGGCCCTTCTATATCCCCTGACAAGAAATATTGCAATCTAGTCTAAATACCATCCCACCAATAAATGCTGAGTTAAAAAACCAAAACAAAACAGGGACTGCCCTACCCCAAAGGCCACCTCATCACCCCTCCTCCTCCTCACCACCAGCATCCTTTCTGCCAACACGACAGAGAAACTGACGCTAAAGATTTGGGAGTTGGGATTGGAAGGTGGCTTCTTGCTTCACCACTGTGCAGAGTGGGCTTGTCGTTTTCTCCTGAACCCTCATCTCTTTCTTTGAAGGCCAAGGGACATTATTACATCAGCCTGTTTCATGAGAAACAGCCCTACTTCACGGAACAAGCAGTGATGTAATGAATTGACTCAAAAAGTGATGAGAGACCCATTACTGAAAAGGTGTCACTATGGGGGCGGGGAGTCCCTGCAATGGCTGGGAGGCCAGCCCCACTGTGTCTACAACTTATCAACGCCGTGTGAGTATAGATCCCTCCCTTTGACCCCAGAGAAATAAGCACGAGTTTCCAATAGTGGTGAGGCTCCTCCAAGTTATATTTGGATGTGCTTGTTCACCACAGAGCTTGGTAAAGGAGACTGGTGTGTCCACAGTGGATTCTGCTGTGGTTGTTCATGCCATCATCCACAGTGATGCTACCTACTACCTCGTGGTAAGAGCAACGACCTTCCGGAGAGATGAGAGTTGGACAACATTTGCTTAAAAATTGGATATTCCAGTCTCAACTGATCCATCTAATGGGAATAGGTTTCATTCAATGCATGTACTGACCCTTGGCACGCTGCTTTGCAAAAACACCAAGGTATCACTATGTTTCCACACTAAGTTCCACTAAGGAACACTAAGAAGTGAATATTTAGTTTTTCCTTCCTTCCCTCCTCTTCCTCTTCTTATTTGTTTTCTCCTAGCAGTCATCGTAACACACGTGGGCCAGAGATCACAAGGTAGAGGGCGGAGGAGGAGAAACAGGTCAGAGAATGGAATGCACAATTTATTGGCACCATTTAAAAATTTTTTTTAAAGCATCGAATTTCAGAGTTATAATGTCTGATTCCACAAAGTCAGTGGAATGCAAAAGAACAAAATTGCCACTTATCCCTCTCTCTTGATCTCACTGAACTGTAATCACAATTCAATCCCTAGAATATAAATTCTTAAAAAAAAATCTACCTTGACCAAAAATACATGTTTCTAGAGGTTGGGTCCTAGAATTCAGAGACATCCCTAGGGGTGGCTGAATGGGAGCAAGTGTGCAAGTGGTCCATGTCAACAGTGCAGCAAGCCTAACTCGGACTCAGAACCACCTGAGAAACTTATAAAAAATAAAACACAACAGCTTCCAGGGAAGTTGAAGCTACAATGAGACACTATCTTTCATTCACCAGATGGACACAAATGATAAAGTCTGATGATACCAGATATTGATAAGGATGTAACCATGGGAAGAATACTAATAGGCCACCAGTGGGAGCATAAATTGGTACAACCACTTTGGAAAATAGATTGGCATCACCTAATGAAATGGAAGATACACTGGCCTTCTGACTCAGCAGTTCCACTCTTAGTTATATGCTTTAGACTCAGAAGCTCTTAGACATGTGCACCAAGAGAGATGTACAAAAATTCTTACCATAGTGTTGATGGTAATAGCAGGAACCCAGACACAACTCAAATGCTCAATGACAGTAGAAGAGATTATCTATGGCCATATCACCCTGAATGCTCCTGATCTCATCTGATCTGGGAAGCTAAGCAGGGTCAGGCCTGGTTAGTACTTGGATGGGAGACAGTAGAAGAGATAAATTGCAGTATTTTCACACAGTGGATTCAATGTAGTACCAAAAACAAATGAACCCCAGCTACATGTATCAAATGGACAAATCAAAAAAGTATGATTCCGTTTATATAAAAGGTTGCAAACATACACACCTAATCCATATGTTGTTTGGGGGTATAACCGTAGGTGTTAAGGCCTTAAAGAAGAGCAAATGAAGGTGGAACACAAAATACAGGAGAGTGGTTACCTGGGAGGGTAGGGAGAAGCTTGTGCTCTAGGTGGGGGCAGAAGAGGCTGTAAAAGGACTGATAACATTCAAATTCTCAAGCTTGGCGGTGAAAACGCAGGTGTCAGTTTATCGTAATCTCTAATCTATGCATATATGTTATATCTACATTTTTTATCATGCTAGCTTTCCTAATAAAACTTTAAAATATACAGATTTCGGCCGGGCGTGGTGGCTCATGCCTGTAATCCTAGCACTCTGGGAGGCCGAGGCACGCGGATTGTTTGAGCTCAGGAGTTCAAGGCCAGCCTGAGCAAGAGCGAGACCCCGTCTCTACTAAAAATAGAAAGAAATTAATCGGACAACGAAAAATATATAGAAAAAATTAGCTGGGCATGGTGGTGCATGCCTGTAGTCCCAGCTACTTGGGAGGCTGAGGCAGAAGGATTGTGAGGTTGCTGTGAGCTAGGCTGACGTCACGGCACTCACTCTAGCCTGCGCAAAAGAGTGAGACTCTGTCTCAAAAAAATAAAATAAAATAAAATATACAGATTCCTAGGCTCCATCTCAGATCTACTGAATCAGAATCTCAGGCTATGGGGTGTAGACAGTACTTTTGATAAGTTCCCCTGAAGATTCCGAGGTGCTATCGGGTTAAGAGCTACTCATCTATCCACACACATACCCTATAATACATACTGGTATCTAGGTGAATGCAGCTTAAAATACAAATCAAGGTCAAGAAATCTCAAGGGAACCATAATAACAGAAAAGATCAGCACAGGAAAGTGTGTAGGAAGGAAAGGCATCTGTCTCACTGTTCTGTTGCAACAGGTAGAGGCTGGTGTGCGAGCCTGAGAGCAGTGGCTGTTGTTGGGCCACCTCCGCCCTCCCCCGTCAGCCTACCAGAGCCCTGTCCCTACTGTACTCCCTGGTAGCACGAGCTTGAGATCATCACCCTCCAAGAATTTGGCCACAGAGCAGGCTCTGGCCACTACTTGCTACAAAGACAGATGCATGACATGGTAAAAAGTGTCTTTGTCTAGGACTCATCACAACAGGCATCTAGACCCAGACCCACACACACAGGCTGTGTGATCTTGGGCCAGTCACTCCCCCTCTCTGAGTCCTAGTTTTCTCTCATCTGCCCTGCCTCCCTTATAACATTGAAATCCAGTGAAATAGTAAAGTTGGAAGCGCTTTGCAAACTGAATGTCTGGTAAGCCCATTGCCATTTCAGTTATTACCTCTTCCTAAAAACCAGAAACATAGGCTGTCAATCTTGGGTCAGTAGAGTTTTCCAGGTCTAGGAAATTGGGAGCCCTAAGGTTTGACCCAGAGAGACCTGAGGCTGGACTAGGGCCTAGTGCCTCCATGTCCCTCTCCTAAAAACTGAGCAAATATTTAACAAACACCCACTACTCACTCAGAGCCTACTTTTTCCAGCCCTGATAATTCAGAAGAGGATGTTCATAAACAGCTCGGGACTACTGGAAGCCCCGTGTGAAGCAAACACGCAGTCTGAATATTCATGAATGGCTTTGCAACAAACATTTAACCAGTTCTACAATACCTTCCAAATTCGGATTCCCAGATTTAGCAAATGAAAATGCAGGACACTCGATTACATTTGAACTTTTTAGTATAATTGGAATAGTTTTTAGTATAAGTGTGTTCTAATGATATCACATGAGACATATACTAAAAAATTATTTGTTGTTCATCTGAAATTCAAATTTAACAGGGTATCTCATGTTTTACCTGGCAACCTCATTTCAAATGGACTAACAGATTGGCACTTTTTCCTACATCTTACATTGGGAAGCCTGCATGGAAGAGAGTTATGAAATCCTATTTCTATTACTTGGTAAAAGAGTAAAGAGTCAGGCTGATCTTGAAATTGGACTTGCATCCTCCCCTTCCTCGTGTGGCCCAAGAAGCTACATAGGGGTGCAAATATTAAGAGCCAGTTTCAAGGGAAACAGGGAAGAACAGGGGTGAGGAAATCTCATCATTTCAAACAGAGATAGGCATTCCAGCCTGGTCCTGGCCCACCCAGGACACTTCCAGAGGCCTCCACCCTTACCTCTGGGCATCTCCTTGGAACGCTCTGCCTCGGGCCCGTCCAGCAAGTCCATCTGGGAGGCCTCCTCCGAGGGAACGTGGCGCCAAGACCAGCTCTGGTTCTTGAGGTCGTGCAGTGGAGGGGAATATTCCAGCTCGCAGGGGAAGTCAAAGCTGCACTCCAGACCTGCAACGGCAGCCCAGGGTCAGTGGAACAAACTGTTTCTCAAATAGGGCCTTCCGGTCCCCACCCCTCCACTCCAGAAGGCTGGCTTTCATTTCACCTACAACCTCCACCCTGTCCAGAGAGGCCATTTGTCAACTCTTAGAGGACTAAGAGAATAAAACGTGTCCTTTCTATAATTCACACGATGGGAGGTGTCCTCAGAGAAGGCAGGTTAAAGAAAGGAAAAAAAAAGAGCTAGCAGGTTGGCTGGGAAGCAGCTGTGCATCACAAGGTGGCCTGGAGACACGGAGAGGGCCTAGGGTGCGGAGGGCAGAGCCTGCCTGAGCAACCCGAAAGGTCTGCGTCCAAGTCTGACTCTGACATTTACCAGCTGGGTGACTCCAGGCAGGAAAACGAACCTCTCTGGCCCTAAATTTCCCCGCCTGCACATTGGGATGAGAATTTCCTCTTGAGTTTGCTGTGAGAGCTGGTGGTAAAACATATTATGCATAAAAATGAGCCTGGTCCATAGTTGGTGCTCAGAGAAAACCCTACTCAGGCCCTGTCTAGTCTGGCTGAGAAAGGCCAGAGGGAACCGAGTTGCGGCCACAGTCCTCTTTCACCAGCCCTACAACTACCCTTCGACCTCGCCTCCAGGGGAGAGGCCGAGGCTGTGATAGTGAATCGGGGTTTCTTCTCTCCTCGGGAGGGGCTCGGGAAGGTCACGGGGAAGGAGAAGACAGGGCAGCAAGAAGGGGCTGCGTCCTGGAACATTTACGGTTTTTGCAGAGGCTTCTCTGGGGGAATCGCCCTTGTGCCTAATCACTCTTTTTCCCACTTTCAGGGTCCCCAGCTTCTCTTTCCCCTCCTTGCTCACTGTCTGTTACCCAAAGCATATGGTAGTCTCCCAGAGCTCACTGATGATTAAGAGAAGAAGTGCCAAAATGCGAATCAGTCGGCCACCTTTTATCTTACCCTCTCTTCCCAGCCGTGGGGATTTGAAAAAGGAGATAACGTGATAGACAGGGACAGGGAATGTGGGGAATTTGGTTTGGATCCAGGCTTGGCCAGTGGCTTCTCATGTGCAGACTTTGGTTTGCTCATCTGTAAAACGAAGGATTTATGGACGAGAACGTTCCAGAAACAAGCACCTGGGGAAAGCTGGGCTCCAGTCCCCGCTCTGTCACTGATTTGCTGGGGACTTTGAACAAGTCACTTCACCTCTCTCGGTCTCAAGTTTCTCAAATACAAAATCTAGATCAGATGTTTTCTAACATTTCTTCTTGATTTGGCTTTTTTAAGATTTTAAAGTGCTCGCTTTCAGAGGGTTGTAGCTAATTTGATAAATCAGTCTTTGCGGTGGTGCTAATGGGTGCTAAGTCGCAATTAGCATTTGTACATTCGAACAGCTGCTTCTGGGGCTGCTACTGCCTTGACTTCCAAGACAAGTCTGGTGCGGGAGTTTCAGAATGCGGTGGGGCACATTCTGATGCAGGCAGCCAGTCACTGGACTGTCCTTTATGAGTGTCCACACCCTTAGGCAGCTGGCCCTGCCCAGGAGTAAGAGTAACATAACTCCCACTGACACTAGCCAAACTATCTAAGTTTAGGAGAGAAGGAAAAAAATCCTTCAATTATACTTCTATTAAGTATCTTTCTGCTTCTTGGCTGGTAGAGATTTACGTTCCCCAGCTGCTCTCCGGGAGCTGCCATCGTTCTGGTCCTAAGGTTAATATCGCTCGCCCTTTCGCGATTTAGACAATTCACCTTTATAATGGCAAGCTGAAATTGGTAGCTCCCACCTTGTGTGAGTTGACATGGCACTCGCTGCCCACATATTTTAACAGCCTTGAAGACTTTCTATTTGCTTCTGGGGGCTGAGCCATTGCTCTGGAGTTGGTGTCTGGCAATCATAGGCTGCCTTAATCTTCAAGACGTGCTTAAAGGCACCTGGTTTTGATAGCATATTACAAGGAGAAAACTGGTTGAACATTTTGTACTTTGCAACACCAAAGCGACCCTTATAAGGAAAGGCATAGCCACTGAACATGGCTCCTCTGGGGAGGGGCAAAAAGACTCATCCACATCATGAATGATCATGTCAGAAGAAGGCAGAGGAAGCTACCAGCCACCTCCATCCCACATGGACAGTTATCCGTGCCTTTCCCAAAGCTTCAACTCTGCAACTATACTCTATTTTTCTCGTCCAATTAAGGATGTCCTATTTTCTACTGAGGACAGAGATGTGGCATGCTAACTCAGAAGTGTCCGGCAAATGTGCCCTATGTGCATATGAGACAAACGGACAAACAGGATATATACAATCCCAGCACCGAGCATCATCCATTCTAGGATCTTTGAACCCTGGAGAGTCATAATCGGCAGTGTTTGGGCCGGATCCTGCCTTGTGACACAGGTTATGCAAATGCCCCTCATTAAATGAGTTCGTTTTGAAATTCTTGCTCCAAGGCAATCTCCTTTTCGTTGTCAAAGCTGTATTCTCTGGCTCTAACTAGGAAGGGAGTTAACATTACTGCTCATTTTGGGTAAAGTTGAATGGGGCTTTTCTACATTCTAATCTAATCTCTCATAAAACATGGAGAGACAGGTTTTTCTCTCCCAAACTAGTCTTAGTGCCTTTTGGGTGATTGTACCTGGGACTTATCTTCTCTAACAGCACCAGGTTAAGTCTCTTTTTCCTTGAGCCTTTTCTGAGGTTCTAGACCTCATGTGCTTTTGAAATTTCTCGCCTTAACCCTCTTCTGACTCAGTGTCTGTGAGGTAGAATCTATTTTACAGACTCAGAGTGATCAGAGCTTCAGTGAAGTGCTCGACCTGAAGCAACCCCATGGCAGAGGCAGGTCCACACCCAAGGGAAGGCTCAGGAAGCCAGGGACAGTGCTGGGTGTTTTTCTTCTATCCCTGTATTTAATCAACATTGAGAAGGGTTGATGTTGTCTTCCCTCTACAGCGGAGGAAACTGAGGCTCAGAAAGTTTACTCTACTTGTCCAAAGGTCAAAGATCTACCCTAAGGCAGAACCAGAATGTTCCCTAGGGCCAGATAATGATGAAGATCTAGTGTTTCTCATCACTCCTCCACAGCTTCAGAATCTAAATTTAGGGCCAAAGATTAAAATAAATCGTATATGAGAAACCTAGGAAGCATTTTATTTTGGTTGTGCTTAGACCCAAGGTGTACAAACTTTACGTATCTGACTGAAAAGACTTCTCCACTACCCTTAGGGGACAGATCTATATTTTCTCAGTATCAGACCCATTTTGCAAAGTGACCATGACCTTCGGAAGGATCCAGAGATCTTGACCTCACTGTATGTACTAGTTTTGGCCCAGGAGAATCTGACCATTGAACAACAGTAATTAGAAAAAGACACACATTTTCCATAACTTGCTGATCACATACTTGACACCACTGCTACTCACTTCCTTGTCTCTTCCATCATGGAAGAAAGATAAGCTAATGGAATCTTCTGGAAATGGTTTGCCTGCTGAGAGGAGCGTCAAGTGCTATGAAGAGAAAGGGCTCTGGCAGAGAAGTGAGGATGGTTCCAGGCTCGGTCCTGCACATAGCAGCCAAGAGATCTCAGCAGGTATTAATACTTCCCCTCCCTGTGCCTTTTCCTTTGCATCTGAAAGATGAGAGAAATGGAGCCTGCACCCTCTATAGCAGTAGTCCCCAACCTTTTTGGCACCAGGGACCGGTTTCATGGAAGACAATTTTTCAACAGGCTGGGGGCTGCAGGGGGGCTATGTTGTGGGGGGTGGGCTCGGGCAGTGATGTGAGCAATGGGGAGTGGCTGTAAATATAGATGAAGCTTCACTCGCTTGCCTGCCGCTCACCTCCTACTGTGAGCACACGCCCACCCCGGTTCCTAAGTTTCACGGAAGACAATTTTTCCATGGACCAGGGTAGGGGGTGGCAGAACTCTGTGGCCCAGTCCCTAACAGGCCATGGACCAGTACTGGTCTGGGGCCTAGGGGATGGGAACTGCAGCTCTACAGTGCCCAGCATCTCTGAAGGTCAGTGATTTCACAGGGCTTGTCCTGGGCTGGCACAACTGAACCTATAGACTGTCAGTCACTTTCACTCTGCCATTCCCGGGGGACAGATTCCCTGTGGAAGGAGGCTGAACATATATCACACTCAATGGGGACTCGAGCTGCCTACAGCTTCTCAAAGAATTAAGAAGGGAAGCTCATGCAAGTTTTGTAGATGGCGGTTCCAGGATGAGTGAGGGAGGGGCTGTGTGTGTGTGTTCATGCATTTTTATCAGTTGGTACCTATATCCTAAAACCTCCTAGGGTATGAATCACATTTCAAAAACTGAATTCATTAACAGTTAGCTTCAAGACATTGTTTTAATATGAAGCATGGCCATTCAGAAGAACGTTATGGTAGCCAATCAGGAAAGTGCTGTGGTGATCCTGTCCAAAGAGACACTCTGTCTCCCTTAACAAGACCCCTTGGCTGTAGAGGAGTTGGCAGTGACCACTCCTCTGCAACACTCTAAAGCTGAGGATGGAAACCTACCTCCTAGGAATGGCTGAGACTACTGAAGCAGTTATGCCCGAGCCCTGTGCCTGGGAAGCCCAGCATCGGCTACTCAGGCAGAGACGGGGGCTTTTTAGCCAGAGCCCAGTGCCAGGCTCCAACACTCCAGGAGATTGCACGCATGTTCCAGGTACTCTCTGTAACATCACTGAAAGGGAACGGGGAGACTTGGTGCACTTTGGACACTTAGATCTCCCCTTGGGTGGGCTTAAAATATCCAACAATCGTCCTTTGTATGCAGACCGATCTCAGACTCCCCCGACATCCCTTGGATCAAGGCGCTTTGTGATTCCTTAATCCTGACCCTGTTCGTTCAGAGACCTCCCACTGGTTTCCTAAATCACCTTGTATCAGTTTCAAGGCAGGGGACCAGTGGCCCCCCTTAGTTTGCAAGATGCCCCCTCCAAGCTTACCCAGTTTCCAGGTGACCATGGGTGGGAGGACCTTAAA